CAGGTGGTCAACTTGCCATTTGACGGAGTTTAATCAGGATTCTACACTCAGACCTTCTTCTGTAGCTTGGACTATTTTCATCTCCAATCAGCACTTGAGACTTTCTTAATTAGCCTCAGTGATTCTAGAAGACATTTCCTTTGGTTAAAAAAAAAAAAAAAAATATATATATATATATAAAAACAGATAAATGGAATAGCAAGAAATAGAAATACTTGAGCCCTTGCACAAAGGATTTATGAATCTGTCTCTGAAAACCATAAGTTAAGGTGATGCCCTGGCCCATGCAGAAGGGAGGAAGAGCAGCTGCACGGAGTTGGTCAGCAGGCAGCCTCTGGAGTGTCAGGTTGGCCTCTCATTTGTAGAATTCTGTTGCTCAATTTTGCTTCTCTCACCTCCTTTCACACAGGTTACTCCCCAGTAAACCCAACCCTCACCTTGTCTCTTAACCCCATGTCACATGCGCTTCCACAGAGAAAGCAAACCAGCACCACTGCTGTGCGGTTGTACAGAATAGGATCCTATGTTTACCCATTAAGAGAAAATTCTGTTGTCTGCTTCTACCAGTGTAGCTGAATCCTGCCTGCCTAGAAGACAGTCGTTGCTGTTTTGAATAAAGTTGGCTGTGCCATGTCTGGTTGAAGTGTCCAAAGGCCCAAGGTCTTTACATCAGACTCATATAAGACATAGTTTCTATGAATCTTGCTTGCAGGTTAAGAAATATTTGTTTCAAAAAAAAAAAAGAAGTATTTATTTCTGTGAAAGGATGAATGCAATCTTCCCCTTGCTCTCCCAACTTCCCAGCTCATAAAGGTGTATGTGTGAGGCAAAACCTCAGCTTCCACTAAAAGAACTGGAAATTATAATGTTAACTTAAATTCACAGGAGAAAGTAAGATTTTGAACCCAGCTGACCTAATTCTGAAGGTCATTTCCTTAAGCTTTCTTTCTCTTCTTTTATCCAATACAGAAAAACAAAATTATTTTTAGTGCAGGGGGGCATGTGATGTTTCAATACGTATACATATTACATAATGCTTGAACCAGGGAAACTAATCTCTTCAAACATTTATCATTTCTTTATGGCAAAAGCATTCAGAATCTTACCTTCTAGCATTCTGAAATACACAGTATGTACTTATTATTTATAGTTACCCCACTGTATTATTTATAGCAGGCCAGAACTATTTGCTCCTTTCTTACTGTCACTAAGCTCTCATTGATCAAATTTTTTCTCATCTCTTCCTTTTCCTACTCTTTCCATTCTACTCTGAATTCTATGAGCCTGACTTTGTAGATTCCCCATGACAGAGCTTCTGTCTTTCTGTGCCTGGCTTACCCTACTTAATGCAAAAACCACCATTCTACCCACAAACGACAAAACTTTATTTTTATGGCTCAGTGGTCTCCCATATGTATGTATATGTATATATGCCATAATTCTTTATCCATTTATTGGTCAATGGACATTTAGATTTTTTGTGTTTCCATTTCCTGAATTGTGTATAGTGCTGCAATGAAGCTGGTAGTACAGAGGTTCCTGATTTCATCTCCTTTAGCTTTCTACCAAGCTTGGAATTGCCAGATCATGTGATAGCTCTAGTTTTAATCTTTTGAGAAATTTTCAAAGTGTTTCCTGTAATGATCACACTAATTTACATGCTCACCAAAAATGTGCAAGACCTCTCCTTCTTCACTTCTTCGCCAGTGTGTGTTTTGCCTTTTTGGTAATAACCGTTCCTCCTGGAGTGAATGGATATCTTGTGGGTTTTTTGTTTTTTGTTTTTTGGGTTTTTTTCCAGTACTGGGAACCAAACTCACGACCTTGCCCTTGCCAGGCGGGTGCTGTGCCGCTGAGCTAAATCCCCAGCCCTATCTTGTGATTTTAATTTGCTTTCCTTGATGATTAATGACATTGAGCGTTTTTTCATGTAAATTGGCTATTTACATATCTTTTCAGAAATGTTCATTTATACCTACAGACAATTTTTAATTGAGTTCTGTCTGTTGAATTTTTTAGGATCTTTTTGAATTCTGGATGTTAACCCATGAGATGCACAATTTATTTCTCCCATTCTATAGGTTGTTTTTTCCCCTCTGTTAATTGATTCCTTGGCTATTATTTTTATCTTTGTGTAATCCAGATAGTCTGTTTTTTACTTTTATTCCTATGCTTTTGAGGGTTTCTTCAAAAAAATCCATGCCCATTCTAATATCTTAAAGCATTTCCCCTAGGTTTTGTTCATTCCTCTCATAGTTTCAGGTCTTACATTTAAGCCTTCAATCCATTCCGAGATTTTGCTACACATGAGACATGTGGATTTAATTTAATTCTTCTGCATATGGATACCTAGTTTTCCAAGAAAACATTTACAGAAAAGACTGATTTTCTACAATGCATTTTCTTCACAATTTGTTGGAAGTCAGTTGACCAGAGATGTTTGTGTTTACTTCTAGGCTTTCTGTTCTGTTCCCTTGGTCCATGTGTCTGTTTTTATGCCAAAACCATGCCATTTTGATTACCACAGCTTTGCAGCATATTTTGAAGTCAGATTATACAGTACTTTCTGCTATATTCTTTTTGCTCAAGATTACTTTTCCTATTCAGAATATGTGTGTGTGTGTGTGTGTGTGTGTGTGTGTGTGTGTGTGTGTTTCCATCCTCCATGACATAATGTACTTCTTAAATTATTCTGAAGTGTTCAGTGATATATTTATATATTTTTCACACCAAAGGGTGTCAAGGGCCATTCTATATAATTTTTCAAGAAAAATCATTTATAATTAAATTGTGATTAGGGCTTATCCAAGGTCTAGTATCTTGACATGGGAGCTGGCAACGATATGTGGAAACAAAACCCCATGTGCCTCCGGTCATAGTTGAGGCCAGAATGGTCCTGAGATGTTATGATGCCACAGGGCAAGATTATATCAACTGAAGATATCCCCTTCCCCCTTAGGGAAAGGACAAACTGTTTACTAACCTGCTATCACTTCCCACTGTCCTCATCAACATAAGATCCTAATTAGCTTGAGATCACCACCACCCTCTGAGTCATCCAGTAACCCCTCACCATTTTCCTCAGTGTAAATGTAATCAATAAATGTTGAGGTCTGGCTGCCTCATCGCCCTTTGTGCCCTGTGAACAACTGGCCATCCCAGACCCCTTGCACTGTTATTTGTCTCTTGGTCTTTCTTTTACCCGTGTGCCATAATGCCTTGCAGGAAACTGGGGACTCACTGCAGCGGCCCCCGATACAAGGGTTAGGGATACAACTTGTTTATTGTGTCTCTTTTCTAAAAATGTGCAGATAAAATCCTATCCACTACCCAGGGATGGTGGCACATGGTTATAATCCTTGCACTCTGGGAAGCACAAGGATTGCAAGTTTGAGGCCAGACTGGGCATCTTAGTGACACCCTATCTGAAAGTTTAAAAATTTAAAAAAATCTGAGAGTATAGCTCAGTTTGAAGAACCTAGGTTTTATGCCAACTACACACACACACACACACACACACACACACACACACTTGCAGAAAAACCTATTCACTCCTCAAATGTTAAAACAAAAACTTCTTCTACTATTCTAAATTATTTAAACATGGAAACATTTATTTTCTCAATGTAAAATAAGTTTCCTGTAGAACTCTCCTTAAAGGAAGAGGACAATACATATTTTTAGATCCAACATTCTATAATTCTTTTTTTGCATGTGGGGGTACCAGAAATTGAACTCAGGACCTTATGCTTTGCCAGGCAGGTGCTTATACCACTGAGCTGTATCCCCAGTCCTTTATGATTCTTTAATTGAAAAATTTTGGATAAAGAATCTCAGAAATATTTATGAATAAGGCTTTCCTCATTTCTTTCAACAGCCATCCCTTACTGAGCGTACACTGCCGTGAAACAAGACTTAGGATTCCAGCTGTTTCTAAGATTCCCTGCTTCCAGCTTGCTACTCTGAGTCTGCAGATTCCTGAGGGCCAGGTCCCAAGATCTGCTCCTACCTTGTTTACCCACAGTCCTCATAAACCCTTTATTCCAGAACTTGTCTCTTTGCTATTCCCTTCCCTACCAACTGTATAGTTTTGTTTAATATTTTTCCTTGACCTGAACATCTTTCCCCAGTACTTGTGTGTCAGTGCACGGCTCCTCCTCTATAAACTTTCTCCTAGACTATACTGTTCTTTTGCATGTATAATTGAGCAGGCATTTGATGTTCCCAATGGGCCGAGTGCTCTGCTCAGAAGATCTGGGGTGCACAAAACATAAATAAAATGTTGGGAGGTATCCAAGTGCTATGGAAAGAGAAAAGTACAGTATTTCAGGGACACAGAGCCTGATGAGTGGTAAAGGGAAGGATGTGGAGGAAGACAGGCCAGAATTGAAGCTCAGGTGGCCTTTGACAGAAAGACAGATTCTACTTGTCATGTTCTCAAGTTATTGTGGCTGTACTCATGGCTCTGTCAGAGAGTATACATCTGAGAAATAACAGAGAATGTAGAAATGCCAGCTGCAGCTGGAATACGAAAGACTTCATGCAACATCCTAAAGATGTCACTATTTTCTTTTGAGAAAATAATTTAAAGATGCACCACCCAACTTTGTTATTGCTGTTTTCAAGTATTATTTCATATGGTAAGAACCCATGTGAGAACGGCCTCCATGCAATTACATTAGTAATAGTATCTCAAGAGAATCCATTTCTGGTAAGGAACACTAAATCAGTGCCTCATAAAGATATAAAGTCATATTTTCATCTAATTTTACTTTAATTGGGAATTGACAAGTTTCAAGATATAGTTTCAGTGATTCTTGGAGTTCAACATATATTAATTACATTTAGCTTCAATTATAATTATACTAATGAATCCACATCCATTAAAATGATGACTACTGAAATCCATTTTATTTAGGTAGTGGCAATAGGTAAAAGCAGTGTATTATCCTGTAACCACATATGTGTGAAGTAATGTGACTATTTGCCAAAAAACTTACCTAGATTGTCTCATAATTAGGTCTCATTTGGCCAGGATCCCATGCACAGGATGAATTCCATCTAAAATGTGAAGTGAACGATTATGCTGATCATAAAAGTAACAAGTATTTTAGGAAGAGAACTGTCAATCAAATTATATAAAGAATGCATTAGGGCCGGGATATAGCTCAGTGCACAGTACCTGCCTGTCAAGTTCAAGGTCCTGAGTTCAATTCCTGGTACCAAAAAAAAAAAATCATTAGAGTGGATAGCAAGTGGAGTCTCACAAGGAATAAGGGAAATCGTTGCAACAACAGAGTTTGATAAAAACCTAAAGGAGGAAAATGATGCTAGCAAGGTTGAGAAAAGAATACAACAGATTTTAAAGCTGCTCTGGAGGCAAAATTAAGAGTGTTTTGTTAGGAAATACATTAGGGAATTAAGAAAGTAGAAGAGTCAGAGTTGCTCAGCAGCTTTTAGGTCAAGCGACTGTGTGGCCTAAAACTCATCTTTTTCTCGGCTGGATGTCTACCAAGTAGCACTAGATTTGAGACCTAGGAAAACCCTGAATAAACTCTTTAGTTTCACTTGCTTTTAGTTAGCTGCTTTCATCATCAGTTTTAGAGGTCACCTAGTTAAGCAAAATACCTCCAATAGCCCAATAGCTTTGCTGTAGTTAATATCTCTGATGTACAAGACATGACGGTCACAGTTGTCTAAGTTAATCTTCAGGAACCTGGTTGAAACCACCAACCCTTCCTTGAGCCTCTGCGAGAGTGTGGTGCATGACTTTTTCATGTCTGAAGGCCACATTCACCCTCAGAGCAAGTTAACACCATTTTTTGAATGGGTATTTTATAAGGAAGCATGAAGTAATTTCATATGTGCAGAGCATCAATTACTTTTCTTTAAGTCAAATTATCCTTCCCCATGCCTCAGACCTTTCTGCTTATCTAACCTATAAATACCACCAAACTCCATTCCCAGAGAGGTGGATTTGAGAGTTGTCCTCATATCTCCACACACTTAGTCACTTCGTGCATAAATTTTCTCTTTTGCAGAACACATCTCACTGATTAGCACACCGTGCAGTGGGCAAAACTGTACTAGTTCAGTAGCAGATTGATCATGTCACCAAATCTGAACTTCCTGGACATGATCACCTCCTCCCTGAGCTCTCAAAAAACAGTATCTGCACACAAGATACTTTGGGCTCCTGTTTATGGGATTTTAGTTGATTCAGTCACATATGTTCACTTTCTCATTTACATGCATTAAGTGTACATTTTATCTTTTTTTCTCTGTTTATTGCTGTTCTTTCCTTAGTAGCTCAGGAACACTCAGTTCGTTTTCGCATGGGGAACACTAGCCACCCAGTTTAAAAGAAATTACAACCAAGAAGACAGACAGTAACTTACCTGCAGCAATATGAGGGAGCATATCATCAAAACTAATCATAGTGTCACCAGTGTCCAAAGTCGTCTCCCCAAAGAGGAAATGGAGACTTCAACTCAACCCCAGGAGTAAGTTCTTGGCTCATCATCATAGAAGAAAAGAATTTCTGGCTATGTCAGTGTGAAGCATAGGCAAATTACTAGTCAGAGTTAGGATGAGGAAATATAAAGGAGCATCAGCTTAAGGAGCTAACAGGGGCAGAGCTCTGGTGAGGATCAAGCTGGCCTGCTAAAAGAAGAAGACAGCCTTTATAGAATAGCTGGAGTCTGCTGGTGTCTGGTTGATCAGTATCTCGGGTTTGGTTTTGCAAAATGACTCCTGGAGAGGCATTTATTGCATGAGGGGGCAACTTAGTCTCAGTGAAAGAATGACATCTGCTTGGGGCAGTCTCAGTTTGCGGAAAGCTTTGCTAGACTCCAAGGTGACCACAGGTTTAAGACCAGAGACTTCTGATTACCCTTTGGTAGTTGAATGTCCCTGTAATTCTCTCATCTTGGTGTCCTCAGTTTTAAAGGAGGATGGTTAGGTTTTATAAATTCGGGGCTAATCAACCTTGTTTTACCTACTTGAAGCAGACATGCCCTAAATGATTAACGTGTCTTTATGCAGAATGGAGCAAAGATCTGACCTGAAATTTTAAAGTAATAGAGAAGATAGAAATAAAATGGAGGTTAGCTTCCTTCTCCTTTTATTTATCTATCAGGCATCCATAGACCCACACATTATGGTTTGTGCCTAGATGTTCCCCCAACACCTTATGCAGTCATGGGGTAGACTTATAGAATTTGTGATTGATTCAAGGTCCAGTGCTGGGATTATGGGTTTGAGTGCTACACCTGCCCTGGGGCAGGAAGCCTGCAAAGTATAAAAGGGAGGGAAAGAGGCCTGCTCTTTCTGCTCGTCCCTTTTTATTATTCTTACTTTTGCTACTTTCTGCCACCATGAACTGTTGCTTTCTGCCATGTGCCACTCTGCCTTGGAGCCAGCTGAGTATGGACTGAAATCTCCATGAACTGTGAGCTAAATAAACCTTTCCTTCCTTAACTCTGGGCATCAGATATTTTGTCTCAGCAATGAGAAAAAAGTAACTAAGACAGAATATGGTACCAGAAGAGTGGAGTTGTTTTGGTAACTATACCTGACCATGTGGCTCAAGAGTCTTTGGGAATGGCTTGTGGGAAGAGTTTGGGAAGATTTGGAGATGTCACCTGAAAGAGTAGAGCTAGAATGCCTTATGATGCTCTATATAGTATATTCTGGTCAACGCTCAGAAAACCAGAAAGCTGATAGAAATCTTACTGGTAAATTACAGGCTGGGGAGGTTTCTACCGGGAAGAAGGACACAATGGTTGTTGGACTCCAAATGATATATGTTGTGGCTTGGCAAAAAGTGTGTCTGCATTTTGCTTGTGTCCAAAGATTTTGTCTGAGACTAAGATTAAGTGTAGTGGACTAATCTGGCAGAAGAAATTTCAAAGCAATCGAATGTTGAGACAGTGGCATGGCTATAGTTGAGGGCTTTTAGACAGATTTATGTTGTAAATCAAGAGCAAAGATCCCAGCAGGATGATTTAAGATGCTTTGAGTTTGGCCAGAAAGGAAGCTCCAGTAAAGCTGTGGACTACAAACATAGAACTGAGGATATCTCCACTGCTGAGAAAGAACAGGAGAATGTAAAAGATGGTCAGAGGGCAACAGAGGAAGCAGCAAGTCTCCACCTTTTGCAGGTTCAAAACTGTAAAGGCAAAAGTCTTTGCTTTGAGAAGAAAGCCACAGAGAGCTATGTTCCAGAATGATAGCAACTGCACCAGGTTCCAGAATGGTGGTGGCATAGAAAATTTGTTGCTCAAAATTAGTTTCAGAGTGTTCAGCAATTCACACATTAGACCCCTAGAGCCAAGAGAGAAAAAAGCCTGGCTACAGCTACAGCTGCAGCTTGCGGCGGACCCTGGCATTATCCACATGGTGCTGGTTTTAGGCACATACAGTATGCAAGAGTTCTGAGATTAAAGAGCCTTCCACCCAGATTTCAGAAGGAGGCCTAGGAGGCCAGGCAGTGTGCCCCTGAGAGGGCAACATGTGAAGCTATGAGGATGAAGGGAAAGGTGCAGTGGAGACCCCAGAAGTTTGAAGATTCTTTGAGGAAAACTGCAAGGAGGAAGCAGAGCATGCCCGAGAGAGAACCCATGGGAGGTACAACCACCAGAAGTGCAATAGAGGCAGAGCCATGTGGAGCTCACAATTTGAGACAGATTGCCTCAGATGTTGCAAGTGGAACTACAGGACTTAATGTTCGCCCTGCTGGATTTTGGACTTGCTTTGGTCACATTCTTTGTCCCCTCCTGTTTGTACCTTTGAAATGGTAATGTTTATCTTGTGCCCTTGAATGTTTGAAGTGTTTAACTTTTCATTTGTACAGGGGCTCACTGCTAAGACTTTGCCTTAAATCTCAGAGAAGACACAGGGCTTGTACTTTTCAACAGTGCTGAAACTATTAAGACTTTGGCAATGCTTGCACACTGACTAAATGCCTTTTACATAAAGGAATGTGCATGAGTCTTTGGAAAGCCAGGAGTCTTTGGAAAGTCACGGTTTGTGTCTACGTGTTCCCCTAAAACTTCATGCAGCACTTCGAGAATTTGTGAGTGATTCATAGTCCTATGCTGGGATTATGGGTATGAGCGCTTCACCCACCCTGGGGAGAAGGGTAGACTGCATACAATATAAGGGAGGGAAAGAGGCTTGTTCTCTGCTGCTCCTCCTTTTTTGCTCTTGTTGCTTTGCTGTTTACCACCATGAACTGTTGCCCTCTGCCATGTGCCACTCTACCTTGAAGCCAGCTGAGTATGGACTGAAACCTCCACAAACTGTGAGCTAAATAAACCTTTCCTTCTTTAACTCTGGGTGTCAGGTTTTTTTGTCTCAGCAGTAAGAGAAAAGATACTAAGATACCACATAAACTATCACTAGTATTTTTTTTTTAACAAAAGCACCTTTAAGTCCCTATCTTCTTCAGAAAAAAAAATATATAAATCATGCTTTTAACAAGTAACAAGTTAAGGGCCCATGAGTTTGTTCATCCTCTGTGTTAATACTTTTCATCAGCCACTTGTGTGCTTAGAAGTACCCAGATCCCTTCAGAGGCTAACATAATACTGTAAGTAAATTGTATATACTAGTATTTATAACCAGTGTATCACCAATTGATTCAACTTTATTACCTATGTGGTTTTGTTACATGGAAATAACTCACAGTCTGCTAGAATGTGCTGAATTTGTGTCTCAGGATGCTGAAGAATGAACTCCTTTTGCCAAAAAAAGGCAAAGAGTAGGAAAGTTTTATTAACAGAAAACTCTGAGAGGCTGGAAGGGTCTTGAAAGTGAATTTCAGCCGAAGCACTTTGTCTATGGGGTTTTTATACAGTAAAATCATATCACGGGTTACCTTGGGTCAAACAAAAATCAACCTATAGGATTACAGTAGCTACTTAGCTAATGTTAATCTAATAGAAAAGCAAGACACACAGCAAGGGTACATAGAGCATACCAAAGTACAAAAGAATTTCTGGAAAGGGTAGGAGTCAGGGTCAGGGCTCTCATCCCCTACCTCCATGTTCATTCT